CTGTTGGCAGCCTTCAGGAAAATCAGAATAAACGCAGAGATACTGTGCTCAGTGCCTGTGATGTCTATCAGGGAGCTATTTCAGTTGCTCCCTGAGGCATTTGCATCTCAGCCCATCTGTGTCTGATCCTAAATTACTTATGACCATGAGAGATAAGAGATTTCCCCATAGACAAGGGGAAGAGGGGGGTGGAACATAATTTCTGTGGTTGATATTTATATTAATGGCATAGCATGCAGAAAGCATTTCATTCCCAAGAAACAGAATTATAAAACTATCAGTAAAGATTAGATATTAAGAAAAAGACGCTCCATATCCAGCAGCTGCTTTTTTCCCTTAAAAGTTTTACCCTTGGTAGAGGATCAGGTGACAATGAGTATGATGAACATCATTGAAAATTACACAAAGACCCTGGCAAGACTGAAAGAAGAGAGAAAATAAAAGATTTTGTATTGCAGTAGTTTCTACTGTCAAAGTGCTTCTCAACCATAACTGAAGCTGATGATCTCACTTCCTGGAAAGGCAAAGATACCTTCAGAAGCCAGGAGACTGGTGACACAGTGGCACATTGTCCTCACAAGAAGGTACTCTGAGTTGCATCTTATCTCCTAGTCATTAAGTAAGCTGCATCTTCAGCTAGGGACAGATTCTGCTCAAAAGGTAATGGAGAAGCAGTTGCTTTTTAGATTACCTCCCTTAGAAATGCATCTAGAGGCTTTGTCTACAGGTAGGTACAATCCTGGAAAAACTTATGCCAGCACTATCACAGGCTTCATAGCACTGAATGTTTAGTTCATACTTGAGCTGAAATGAGTCTAAATGCCACCTTTAGGAAGCATTTCTTTTCATTAATGCAGCTGTCAGAACATTCTGCATCATGTCTGTGGGATGATGTCTTATGCTGCCATTTGTAATGGAGATCAAGGCTCCTATAACGCAGCAGTCCTTGAAAAAACTGCTGGATATTGTGCTTGTTATGTATTGGAGAAATACACTGTTTGCAGATGATATGCTCATCTTCTTAAACAAAGAGAGAGCTTCTGGTACAGCACATCTGCCTCTGATTCCAGACCATCTACAGACTGGGACAATATGCAGTTTTTAACATTATCACGATGTCCCCTTTTCGTTGTGCAGAAACTTTAACGGATACCGAATCCTGTCACATATGGTATGTTCATGTGAAATGATAAAAGACTCTGATATGCACATGCACTATTTCTATCTATGGCAGATGAAAGGCTTTGCAAAAAAGTGAAAAAACATATTTGGGACCCTACTTAGGTGGAAATTGAACTTGTACTCAGGAAAGGCCTTGGCATAAGTAGTGTTGGAGAAGTCAGCTTTCTTCCAGATCTCAGTTCTGTATGTTTGCAAAGTAGAAATCAAATTGTTTAACTTTATGAGGAAATCTGAAATTATGGATGATAACAAAAGTTCCATGATATTATTACATTTTCAGGCTACTTCACACCTGAACGGGCTAAAACTGAGCTTTTTTATTTTTTTTATAATTTATGTGCATTGATTTAGCAGTATGAATCCTAGACAATCTTTAATGAGTTGAGCATTCAATGGTTTAGTCTAATCAATTAATTTGATGGTTTAGTCTAAGTAACAACACCTAGAAGCAAAGATGAGGCCAACATTCACTGGACTACTTAGGGAAGTAGCTAGTTGATGTATTCTTTCGAGTTAACACAAAGTTACTGAAAAGCAATTGGTTCTGTAGGCAGCACACCAAGGGCTTAGTCAACTTCTTCATGATCATTCAGAATTCCAGTGTTTCTGCACACTGGAAGTTTTGGTTTCCAGCCCTGCACTACTTGAGATCTAAGCTGCAGTATTTACTAATTTTAAATCTGTGATTAGTGAGTTGGACTAATACGAGTTATTAAAAGCCTGTATTAGTAAGTGCTTAGCCTTACCTTTAATAAAGACAGCATTTGATGGTTTGTGACGTTAGGGAGAGTTTCTTTGTGTGGTTTGCTTAAATTTCCCTTAGGCCATTTTCAGTGAGGTTGGGATGGGCTTGATTGGAAAGTTTAATAGCTTTTTTTGTTTCCGTTCCCTTTTGCCAAGCTGGTCTTTAAAGCTTCTCTTTCATGATGTGTGAATTTCTCTCCATTTGAAGAACTAACATCAGATACAACACAGAAAGCAGATTTTAGAAATGAGCTATTAGGCAGAGAAGAGGCACTTTTAAGAAGCTTGCAAGTTGCACAGCAACCAGAGGAACATACAGTCATTTGATTTCTCAAATGACTCTGACTTTGACTCAAGGGAAAAACAGTTTTATTCTCCCCTTAGAGCTTTCTATCATATGTGATAAAGAGAAAACGTGTTTATACATTTTCCTCCTCTTAAAAAAAAAGTGGTACCTCATCTCAGAGAAACAGCAGCTTGTATTACCATGTAAATTACCTCAGAACATACCCGGTCACAGCTCCTTTTTGTGATCTTAAATGAGAAAATATAGCAGTATAACCTTCTCTTTCTTCTAGCTTTTAGACATAATGTGCTGAGCCTTCTGAAATAATAAATTAAAAACCAACCAACCAAACGATAATCGATGCTTGATGTTTTTTCAGTTTCTGTAGAATTGTTTCTTTCATCACTGTCCCTAGACTTGGAATTTTACAGTAATATTTTCTGATTGTTACAGGCAGCAGGTCTTGGCTTTTTCTGGAGATCACCACCGTACCAACTGTTGTCCAGTTTCTGCTGCATGCATGTGTAGGTTGATTCCAAATCAAATGTGTTCCTGAGTTTCTTTTCTGATGCCCTCTGGAGCACAGTATCACTTTTAGGTTAGATGCAGCAGTCATGCTTATTGTAGTAATAGCACATAAACATCCAGCTTCGTAAATGCCAGATATTCCTCTTGGAGATCTTATTTTCAATACTAATTTTGGTCAGTCCATATATTTGAACTACTCAGTCCAAAAATGGTTTGATTCTGATATAAACAGCCTGTTACAGCATATAAAATATATTCACAAAATGGAAAAATACCTACAGAAATGAATGACTTTATCAGACCGAGCAACTAATTTTTCTTCTCACTTGACCTTGGTTTAGTCATTTTGAACACAGCAGTGATAGTGCTCTGCTCGTATAGAGCGCTCCAAGACCTGCGCATAAAAAGTCTTCCCAATATTGGAAAATTTTGGCATTGAACCAATATTTTAAAGATATGGGTGTGTGCTAAAGCTTTTATTAAGAAATTGTCTGTTTCACATCAAATCTGATCTCCTGGTGACTAAGACCTACAGGAAGTCCTAGGTATCTTCAGACATGCTGAGAAGAGCCTTGTAACTGTCTCACAAATGCGCGTGCGATGGCTGATTCAGTATTAGCCCGGGCCATGTCTACACTGAGTGCAGTAGTGGCTACTCAGGGGCTTCTGCCAGGGTCAATAAATCATACCAGTTTGGGGAGGCAAAACAGTTATGACTCTCGTATTCAGAAGTCAGCCCCTTTGCTACCATGGCATAGTCCTTTCAAGAGCTGGTTTAAATTGTAGTGGTGAGAGAGTGCTTTGCCTGATAAAATCTTCCCTGAGGAGGAAGAAGAGCAGTGGTACTATACCCCTCCCAGAGATACCTTTTAAATATAGATGAGCCAAATATAATAAACAGTACTGTCATCTGCAGGTTACTCACCACTTTAAGTCTCCTTTATAAGAGGTCTCTTCTCTTTGATAAATGCTGCTGGTACTGTCGTGTCCATTGGAAGCGTGATTCTTTCTGATACAGCTGTGTCTGACTGTAAATGTAGTTATACTGCTACAGGAGTACATTTATCCATAACTGTATCCATCAAATTGCTAGAACAATTTTTTCTGATTTAATGACAGCAAAGTAAGTATAACAAAAATCCTCAGAACAATAGTTGAGATTTTCTTCTGAACTTTCAGAGCCCAGTGAGAAATGTGAATTTAATAGATCAGAAGTATAACTTCATTAAGATGGGTTTGAAATCAGATACACAAAGAAGAACACAGTTGTCTTGGTCTTGCAGACATCCCTAATTAGCTGTGGGTCTGAAAAGCTTTGAAAACCATAGAGCTGACCAGGTATAATCAGGAACATAAAGTCTTCTGGCATAGGCCAGAAATACTGTGTCTCAAATTTGAAGTTCCAGAGGCTGTTAGGTTTTAGAAGAGTCTCAAGTAGTTCAACCTGAGCATGTCTGGTATGGAGTCACCGAGATGCAATAAATCACCGTCATAATGCTGTTTTTTACAGGAAGAAAGTAAACTTTCAAGTGTCATTTTGGTACTGTGATCAAGGATTCCTTTTTGCCTCTGCTTAATCTCTTACATTTTAAAACTGCTCTCTTCCTTAATAGTGAAGCACGTTTACAAATGTTCTGTCCTGCTTCCCAACAGATGTCACCTGGCTGAACTTTACGTTACTGCATGCTGTCTCATGCCCAGCCCATCCCACACACACATATGCTGGCCTTCTTGCACAAAACCACGTGCAGCACCCCACACACTTCTGGAGATGTTCTCTCTCCCTCTCTCTTTCTCCCTCTCTCACACACACATGCTCTCAGAGCTTTACACCTTTTCCCTCCTGTCTCATCTTTTAGTCACTTCTTAAAGATGCTGACAGTGATTTGTTTGAGGCAGTCGAAACCTGAAACATTCTGAAAAGAAACATGCTGAAAGAGAAACACATGGGAAGAGAAGCAGCTCGTAGTAATTTTCGTTGTATCACTTTTGCACGAGGCTTTATGTGTGGCGAGTGACTGATCTAGATAAGGATGCTTCAAATAGAAAAAAAATCTCATAGAAGAAATCTGAAATCCTATGTAGAAAAACAAGAGCAAAAGCTCCTTCCTTCCTTCCCTCTGTCTCCAAAATATGCTTTTCCACCCCATAGCCAGCCCCAAACTGAATATGAGGGTCTACGTGGGCTCTGACACATAGGTGAGGGGGAGTGCACATGAAGCACCAGTCAGTAATAATCTTTCTTTTTTTCCCTCCTCAGTTTGTTGCTCAGCCAAACTGCCAACAGCTACTAGCAACACTTTGGTACGACGGTTTTCCAGGATGGAGGCGGAAACACTGGGCAGTAAAACTCTTGACCTGTGTCACCATTGGACTGCTATTTCCTGTGCTATCTGTGGCATATCTGATTGCACCGAAGAGCAGGCTGGGACTGTTCATTAAAAAGCCATTTATAAAGTTTATCTGCCACACCGGCTCTTACCTAACCTTCCTCTTCATGCTCCTGCTGGCATCACAGCATATCGTCAGGACTGACCTTCACATGCAGGGACCACCTCCCACCATCGTGGAGTGGATGATCCTGCCCTGGGTTCTAGGTAAATCAGAAACACAAAAATGCCTGAGCCACAGCTGCCTGACTCACACGCATGGCAACTGTGTGGAGACTCATTCCTGGTCTCAGCATCATCAGCGTGTAAAGAGATTTGGCAGCCAGCTTCAGTAACTGCATAAAACAGCTGGGCTCCTTCTGGAACAACAGATCCTGTTGGCCTAGGGCGCTTCTGCTGTTCATGTTGCCATCTGACATGCCTTTAGACATGACTCTGAGTAAACTGCAGCAGATGCAGCACTCTCCCTGCTTTCCGCATGCTCTGTGCAGGGAACATGCTAGGAATTAGCTTCTGGATCACGCTAGTAACAAATAGTGTCACTTCTCATGCTGGCTTAGTTCTGCTGGCTGGTACCTGGCAGAAGGCAGCGCTGAGACCCTGTCTCTGCTTTCGCCTTCTCACTGATCTGCTCCCAGAGCCAGTGCACAGGTACCAGTCCTGGTTATTCCTGGGGTCCCAGACTCCCAAATAGCCTACGGGAGGGCAGAAAAGGGAAGATAAATCTCACTCTACCATGTGCCTCTGTGCTGATAAACACTGGCCACTATCAAGCGCTGTAATGTAAGCAGAGGGAAGGAGTATTTATTATCAGAAGGTTAAACGTGAGGCTGTTACTCCAGCCTGTCTTGAGCAATCACAGCTGCAAAGAAAAGGAGGTATCCGTGTTCCTGAGGGCAGGATGTACAGGGGAGGTAGTGAGATGGGGTAGGAGAAAGTACATAGAACTACTGAGGGAGAAGAGCAGAGAAGCATAGTTGGATATGTTTTTGAAGAGAAAGAAGTATTTACCCTTTCAAACTGAGCTCCAACACACAGCAAGTGAAAACCTGTGGACTCCATTAGAAGCACGATCTCTAATGAAACTCCCTTCTCCCTTGCTGTGCCATTAGCACGTAGCACCACCGTGAGCTGGGGTGGCACTAGGAGGCCTGCTCACGGGCAATGTTCTCCGCACCTTCCTAGCTGTTCTCCAGCCCGTATCCATGCAGCCCAGGTCAGTTCAGTGCAGAACCCCAGAGGTCAGGTAACAGTGAATTGTGACTGTCTGGTAGGCGTCGGTGGCCTGGAAAACCAGACTGATGTTTTCTGAGGACACCTCTCGCAAACCTCAGTCTCTAGAGCCTTCCTTACAGCTCCTTAGTGCTTCTCACAGGTCCACCTCTGCTTTCCTCTGCCTGCTGGCTCCTCTCTCCTGGTAACACCGGGCCCCAGCTCCTTGTTTCTGTGGTGGCTCTGGATCAGGCTGGTTCTGTGCTGAACAAACCTAGCTGTTCCCTGTGCCAAGCCTAAATCTGATGATGGAAAATGAGGAAAGAGAGTAAAAGTTGCAAACATGTTCACAAATTGCTTTCCATCGTGACCCACAGCATTTTGGTCCTTGCATAGCTCCACCACAGCTTACAAATGGTAACTCAAGCCTCGTTATCTTATTAAACTGATTTATGGCATTGAAATGCATGTGTTGTTAGAAATTTCAGAATAAGCTGAGAAGGTTAAATGTCTTTTCTAAGCTTATGTGAGCTTTTCACTTTATCCTTAACTTCATGGTTAAAATTGAGGGAAATGCTAGGCATTTCAGCAAAATTAATTTGCAGATGAAAGAAAGATAATCCATTAAAAAAAACCCTTTCAAACATCACTTCTTACAGCTGTCTGCTCTTCTTTTTGAGTTCCTTTGTTTTGGATAAATAGGGATATTGTAGGACTGTTTATTAAATGGAGAAATTAGAACAGTTTCACCAGATTAAAGGTTATTATTTAATAAATATTTTCCACTATAAAAGGAGAGAGAGAACAGGCACACACAGCATTGCTGTAACTATAGTAACCAGCAATGATAACTCACTATAAATACAGTGTACGAGTTCTTCAGCAGGCTCCTCTCCATTGATTTATTTTATTTTATGTTTTTCTGTTCCTGCAAGGATTTGGAGGCAGCTGTAATAAAATTACCTTATTGGCCTTGACATTATGCTTGCCTGATCACTGACCTGCTGGCTGGCAGCTGAAGAGCTAAGATTGATATTTGGATGTTTGCAGCAGTTCATTTCAACATTATCTGCTCTTCAGATTGAACTTTCAGGTCCTAAAACTTGAGTTGCGAGTAGCATTTCAGTGACCACTGCAGCAGCTTGTGGTTAGGTATGGGTAGCAATTTGGGTAACTATATTGGTAATGCACCTGACATGTATTTTGTTGAGGTTTTTTGTGTGTTTTTTTTCTTTTCACACATTTCAAGTCTTCATTCAAGGAAAATGTTGTAAACTGGGTAATTCAAGATAGTTGGGGGCTCTAAAGACATTCTCAGAAGCATGTAGGTGATGAAGGAGCCTAGCTGCCATTTGCTTTTTAATGGGACTTAGGTTCTCAAAAATACTTAAACAGTTCTACAGGAAAAGACACACATGTTACTTAAAATTACAATTGTATGCATGTGAGTTTAGCAGTCTGCTGATGAACTTCAGAAACTGCCACTCACCCTTCCAGCTGCAAGGAGGTACAGTGAAGGTTGGCAAGTGCCAAAAATTATTGCCAGAAGGCATTTCAGAGTTAAGATTATGGGCTCTGGCCATATCCTCAGGAACAAACATTCACCTTGCAAAACCCATAGCCATATTTGACATGAGGTGGTGAGTCATTGCTGAGAGATGCCATGCCAGGCTGCAGTGCCCTTTTTCACACTGAGTCCTACCTTTTTTCACATATAGTCTCTATGGGCTTTTTGTGCAGCAAAATGCATAAATACAGTGACTGGGCATAGAGAATTAATTCACTTCTTCCTTCTTTGGTATGATATTGCCAGGTCAGGGAGGAAATGTACTCGCACGCAGAAGCTGGTACTAGTGTTGCATGTTCTGCAGATAAAGTCAGGAAAAATCAGTACTGACCAATTGAGCAATTAATTACTTATAGTTTCTAGGAGAGCAGACAATGTATTAGAAACTATACAAAATACAGTTGCTTAAATAGTTTATTGATGTAGAACAATCCACTCATACTAGTTATAATTAACATATGTTTCAAGCAATCTCCTTGTGTGTATATCTGGAGCCCTAGATAGGAAACTTGGGTCTTTTTCGTATGTCTCTAGACTACATTCTCCACAGAGTTGTAAAGCATCTCATAATTATCAGTATTCTATCTTGTAGAAGACAGGAGGGCTGAGACTTTTTTCCCCAAGCTGTTAATTTAGAATTGTCTTTCATTATATCACATATACACAGTGCTTTAATGACAACTAATACCTCATCATGACAATGAGCTCTCTTTCTTTCTACAGGTTTTATCTGGGGAGAAATCAAGGAAATGTGGGATGGAGGATTCAATGAGTACGTACATGACTGGTGGAATCTGATGGATTTTGCAATGAACTCCCTCTATCTTGCAACTATTTCCCTTAAAATTGTTGCCTACGTCAAGGTACAGTAACTTGGGAGAGAGAATTTAACTTGCTTGTGAGAACTGTAGTACACAGGGTAGAAACTGTCAAAATCAAAATTACAGATCAAAGAGCATAGCTGCTTTTCAAGCAGTCCAGTTTTGAAAATTCACCTGGAAAGCTTATTAATTTCTTTAGAGAATGATCATCCTTCTCATCCTGACTCCTTGATTAAAACTGAAGTACATTGTTTGGGCACTGGGTAGAAGTTTCCCTACTTGCTGTCTGTTTTGTAGCTACTCAGTTGCCAAAGATACGTTTCCTTTTCCATACTGACATTGGACCTCTTTCAACAATGCTGTTCATAGTGAAAACATGATTTTTAAATAAAATGGTAAAAGGAAAACAAGAATAGGGTTATATGAAAAAATCTACAGCCAAGATTTATAATCTGTAGTCCTACAGATTTGTAGATTACTAATCAGAAGCTTGTGAAAAGTCTACTAAGAAAAGCAAGCCTGCTAGTAGGAGGCTTCCATCTGATATAAAGAAGTCAGTTTACTCTCTTCAATATATAGTTTTAAGCTATAGGCAAGGAAATGACAAAGGAGCATGCTGGAGCTTTAACACCGCATAGATTCTTCACTGCCATGTTCCATTTATGGCAAGAATGCACATCAGAGCTCATCCTCAAAAGCACCTTCCACACTTATAAATTTCTGATGCTTCAAGTTAGCATATGCACATGTTTCGAAGCCAGAGGATGGCCTGAAGCACTTTCTTTTTGTCTCTGTTTTTCAAAGAAACAGACAAGACACAAATGGCCTCCTGCAAACTTCCTTATGCAATGGCTCTGACTTCAGCTGGAGCTGTGTGCTTGGCCTGATTCTTTTCTCGGTATGAATCAGCAGTAACTTCACTACAGTTAGTGTAATTACACAGATCAAGTAACTGGAGTCTGCTCCATGGCCATTTATGAGCTTTCTAGTTTGCTGTGCTACTGTGTTGGTTTTGCCCTGGTAGAAGGGTACTACTTCTTTTAGCCCAGCTCCTAATAACCAGGACAAGCACTTTCCAAAGCAACCTTGTTTAGTCCCGCCCAAGCATGTATGCAGGCAGAGAGGAAAAGAGGAGAAAATTTCACAAAGCTCATTGACTCCCAAATGGCAAGGCTTTTATAAAAAATTTCTTAGCAGGAACAGTCCTGCTATGGGGCCTTTTTAAAATCCAGAGGGCTGCATAGTGGTGAGTTAGTTTTTCAAAGGGAAAAGCTTTAAGATAGTTGCTGCTCCCTGAAGAGGTAGCTCTGTAACAGCATCAAAGCAGGAAGAGATTACTTCTTTTTTCTCTCCCAACATTCAGAATCAGTGAGGAAATTACGGACTTGAAAGGTTGGTCTTTAAACTGTGAGCAACACAGAAAAAAGCTGGAAATAATGAGATTCACGAACAAATCTTAAAATGTTAACAATCTTATTCTTTCTCACACACAAATTACTAGAAGAGCTGTGCATCCACAGATTTATACAGTTACTGAGATTTAAACTCCTAGCCAAGCCACATACACAAAGGAAGTACAGCTTTGTTTATATACTCTGCAGGAACTACAGAAACTTACAGGCTAACTGAAGACCTATCTGCCAGCACACAAAATAATGCTTACAGGAATGTATTTGAGTACAGATCAGACCCACTTGGATTAAACCTGGTTGATCCGAGTCTGCTCCTGGCAAGACCAATGTCAGACATTTCGGAGAGGTGCATAAAATCTTACACAGCAGTAGTTTGGAAACAGCATGCTCACAGAAGTTCCCTTCTGACCAACGTCACTTACAGGTTGCAGTGTGCTCTGAAACATGAGGCTTTATAATGTTGATAATGGCTTCAAAACCTTTTGCAACATGACTTGTAAAGGTTTTTGTTCATTATAGAGCAGCCTTGAGCTGGAAAAGGCTGGTATATATGCCAATATACCATATTCTAACACTTCTTAGAACTTCAAAGGATTACATGGACATTTACCTTTCTGCCAAATATCAGAAAATAAATTGTATACTGACACTAATGTTTTCCATCCTTGTTCTTACGTGGAGACTTTTTTTTTTTCCTTGATTTGATTGGTTCCGAGACCTGGCCTTAATATTGTCCAATACCAATTAAATCTTCAGGCTAATTATAGGGTAAAAATACTTTCTTAATCAATTTTAATTTGCTGCATTGAATTGTCATGTAATGAGGAACGGTAAACATGACTGCCTGGTGTAACTTATTAGTACTGTTCTGTATACATCTCTGCTGTGTTTCATCTTCTGATGGCTAACCCAAACAACTCCAGACTTTGCAGATGCCCAGCTTCATTAGATGCCTCTGAAATCTGTTTCTCTATTACCTATGATGCTAGGCTGCTCTGAAGAGACTACTGTTTGCCAAGCAAGGATATACCATTAGTGTGTAAAGGGACAAAATATGACCTGAACAAGTTGCTTTAAAAAAAAAAAAAAGTGAGATGAAGATCACCTTTTCACATACCTTTACATACAGCCTATGCTAAACCCTAGCAGAGAGCCCCTGGGCTGCTGTGTCCAGCCAGCATGCAGAAGAGAATTGTAAACAACTGTGCAAATCTGCTCCCTAGGCAGGGCAGGGGAGGCTTCCTGGTCACAACCATCTGCCCCACTGCTGGATATTGGCAAAAGTTAACAAGTCTGCCTGTTTGTAAACATTTGCAAACCCATCTTCTAATCAAGTGAACAGACTCCGGCCACGATGTTCGCTGCCTGTTTGTAAACATTTGCAGACCCAATCAAGTGAACAGACTCCGGCCACGATGTTCATGTAATAAAGAACAGTTTGGAAATGTCAAAAGCAATCAGAGTTCATGCTGAAATGCCTTTGTGTCATGTCTCAGCTCCTTCATAAAGAGGAATAGTTTGAAATACCAGCTTGCTTTTAGCTGTGTCCTTGGAAAGAGAAAAGAAAGAGTGAGCTTATGTATTGAACTTTCAGATTTAGATAGGAAGTCCCTGCAAACTCATCTGCCAGTATGATATTGACACCATTTCCTTTTAAAAGGTACAAAAACTATTTTAGGATTCCTAAACACACTGGCTACACTATTAGCTGTGTTATTCTAAGTACATTTTTGCCTTTTTATACATGTTAAATGAGCAGAGACAAGTGTTAAAAGGACAATTATTATTTGATATTAAAATGCCTTTGACTCCATTTTGTGTACTGGTGCAGTTAAGCCAGAGTAGTTACATTTATACAACCAGCTCTTTTGTGTTACCTATTTGCAGCTGGCTGCGCTTTGCTCAGAAAATGCTTCTGCTTTTACAGTTACATTACAAACCAAGTTAATGTTATAATTGATGCACTCAAATGTACCCAGTGTTTCAGCTGCAATTATGACCTCTGCTTTAGCAACTCTCCTAAAATTGCCATGACAAATTAACTAATAAGAAAATTAATATGAAAAAAGCATTTTGGTTCTGGGCTGTTGGCACTTTTTTTAGATTACTAAGGAAGGAAAGTATCCACTTTTTATGTTCAGTAGTTCATCACCTTCCTTCTTCCCTCCCTTCTCCCTCCCTCACATTCGTCCCGGAATGAACAGTGTTTTGAATGTGCAGTCATATTTAGGAGGAAAAAGAAGAAAAGGTAATTAGAAATTTCGAACCCAAATCTGATAAAGGGCAGTCTGAACCCCTTTAAACATTGAAAGAAAAGGAGACTGTGTATGAACCCATAGACCCAAAGAAACGGCAAAGAGTGAACTCAAAATTCAGAAGGCCTGTTTTCTAAATTTAGTCTAAGAACAGCCAACATACCAGAAGCCTCTAAAGAAAAGCTGGTCCCACAGCTGTCCGTATCAGGGGGTCATAATCCAGTAGGGAGAGTTCATAAGAAGGCTTCATTAAACCTAAGTCTCTGCCCTGATCAAGTCAGCTCCAGTCCTTAATCCCAAATGTTAGTCTGACAGTAGCTGAGAGTTTTAAAGTGCTTCTCATGACACCAGTACCTCTTTAGTATTTACATGTGAGCCATTAGTATTAGCAGGTGTGACTTTTTGAGCTACCTCAGAGTAATTACCACACAATTCACTTTTATACCCTTGTTATTTCTTTCAGTATAACGGTTCTCGTCCAAGGGAGGAATGGGAAATGTGGCACCCGACTCTCATTGCAGAAGCCCTTTTTGCAATATCCAACATTTTAAGTTCCTTGCGTCTCATATCCCTGTTTACAGCAAATTCACACCTGGGACCCTTGCAGATTTCTCTGGGACGCATGCTGCTAGACATCCTTAAATTCCTTTTTATCTACTGTCTGGTGCTTCTGGCTTTTGCCAATGGACTGAACCAGCTTTATTTTTATTATGAGACCAGTGCCTCGGAGGAACCCAACAACTGCAAGGGGATCCGATGTGAGAAACAGAACAATGCCTTCTCCACGTAAGATGTCCTTTCCTTTCTGTTTTTAAGGTAGACTTCCACTGTCTCTTGTTACCTGCCTCTGCCTGTTGTCTGTCACTGCACTGAACGTGCCTTTATTTATTAATTCGCAGATACTGAGTGAACTGGTTGACTGTGCAGGAAAGGTGTGAGTTAACTGGGGCAGACATTCTGCTGAGCTGTGCTGTCAGAAAGACTCTTACTTAGGTCTGGAAGCGAGAGACAATCGTTTTAGTTCTGGACCAGAGAGTCTCCCTACATGATCCTGCAACTTAAATTTTATTATGGCTATGTACAATTTCAGTATGTTTGAGAAAGCAAGTGTCTTTTTGCCATAATAATTGTTTTGTCTGATCCTGGAGGAAAGGAAGGGAAGCTAAACAAAATGTAGAAGACAAAGGATAAACCTATGAAAAAAGGTATTAAGAAATAATGTGATACATTGCAACAACAACAATCTCACCTAGGCCATTTTTATGCATACGTGATGTTGCAAGCTTCTCTGATCTCCTCTGCAGTGGGGTGAGACTAAAATCCCAGCAAAATCCTTTTTGCTGGAAATGCTGGTTACTTTGCTGAGATGTTGGCATGGAAATTGCTGTGATGACAGCTGGCAGGGCTGAAAGAGATAGCACATGCAGAAAAATAACATGAATTGTCTTTCTGATATATTTGTTTTAATTACTAATAGTGGAAATAATTATAATAATCAGCCCCCACCCAATTGTTCTTGCTGCTTGCACAGTACTTAAAACACAATGGGAAGAGAAATAAATAAAGCACAGTCTAGAAAAAGGCCTACACCCTGCAAACAAGCAAAACAAAACTGTTGTCCACCACTTTATGCTAAATTAAATAAAACTTGTCATAATGCCCAATAATTCTCCACCCTTCCTCAGCTGAAGGCTTGAGCTTAAGAAAAGATTTGTGACATATTTGCACTGTCATGGAAAGCAGATGATGGCTGAGGCCACGTGACTAGGTTGGAGAGGAAAGGCTCCAACACTGTCCTGCAGGCTCCCTCCTTAAAAGAAGTGGGGGATTTTCATGGGATAGAGTCCAGCCTTACAAGAGCATCATGACCTGGTAGACCAGACGTGCTGCCGTTTCCCACTGCAGAGCAGGAACACCATAGGCTTGATTAATTTTCTCATTAAACCCATCTATATCTGGAGGAAGTGAATGGAACTGCACTGTACTAATGAAAAACAGAATTAAAGACTTGGGTCTTTTTTCCATTTTAATTGCTTTGCATGCCCCAGAAATGCGTTGTGCTGCCCTTGCAAAGGAATTAAATAACAAATACTACTCCTTGATCTACGTCCATATTGATGCAGCAGCCAGAGAAATGTTTGGCAAGCACAATGTTTGTTAAGTGGCAACTTCTGACTCACAAATGATCAAAACCACAGAGTTCAGGACTAGAGCCTGCCTTTCCCTGGAGCTGTGGTGAACAGATGTATTCAGTTCTGCATCCTGGTTTGGACCTGTCTCCATTGCAAACCAGGCATTTTACGGATTTCTGTAACCACTGCCAGCAGGTTAGTGGAGAAAACAACGGCAAGATTTGACTGAAGTAAAAGAGCATTGGGTCAGCAGGGAAAAAAAAAATCCTCAAGTCTGTAAGAAGGTGTAATATCTTGAGAACTAGAAATGATACAGAACTACTTAACAGAAAGTGTGCAGATCAGCTTAAATACAGACCACAGTTTCTCCCACCCTAGCATTCAGTTTAAACCCCCTGCCAAGGAGAATGTAGCACAGAAAGGAAATTGAGGGGGCTCAGCCTTTATGGCAGAGGTTTGTTTAAAACAAAATCGCAGTGGGAGGGGATCCATTAGGACTCAGGTCTCCTGGCAGGCGACAGAATGCTCTGCAGTTACTTTTTGTTTGAGAATTGCTTAAGAAATTTATTTAACATCTTCTTAAAAGTTTAAATAGTCATTATTAACACCCCAGGTACAAGCTGACATTTGGCCTTGAGCAGATGCACAGCATGGGTGACTGGCTAAGAACGGGCAACCTGCAAAACAGAAAATTACACTCTTGGGCTGGGGAGAGCAAGCGGGGCTGGAGGGAATTCAGATCAGAGCTGGTGTTACCTCAAGTTTGCTCATAGTTCATCTCTAATGAAAGAATAAATGTAAAAAGCTTTCAATCAGTACCCTTTGATTCCTACCAGCATTTCTAGGCAGTCACACAATAAGATCTAATTTTGTAAGGGAAGGAAAAGCAGGATGCCACTCGTGTTTGTACAGCTTGTTTAAAATGTGACACCTATTTAGTGGTGCATTATTTCCTATCACTCCCAAAGGATGGGTTTAATATTTTATTGGTGAGGAAATTTTCTGTGTCGCAAACACAGATCACGGCAAAGTAATATTCCTTTGCGACAGCAATGAGGTGAAGTCATGAATAATTTAAGGTTTTATGCTTTGGCTTCGCTATCCCGTAGAAAGAATGCTTAGGCAGACAATTTGAAAATGTGTTTATTGCTGTGATTTGGGCAACTGAAGGAAGGAGAAGAGAGAGAGGAAGAGGAGGAAGGGGTGGAGGAAGTCACACCTTACTGCCTGCTGTGTCATTCTCAGTGGAGGGTCACACTGATCGCTGGGGCCATTTCTCCAGGGACTGCAGGAGGGTTCCTGTGGCAGAGGGGGGCACTTGCTCTCTCTAAGCTGCCGTGGAGTGTGGTGGAGCTTTGAGATTTCTCCTGTTTGCTTAAGATCCAAAATATACTCAGTAGGAGGGGATAGTCACTCAATCACAATTCTCAAAATTCTTTTTATAAAGCTGCTTCTCCAAAGTACTGTGAGCCCCATGGAACACTTAGTGTGAACAGAGATTGTGGTTCTGGGATGTCCTTGAACACTGAGGAAGGAGTAACTAAACCTTGCTTCCATGCAAAGTTGCAGAACCCAGTTGCTGTCTTTTTCAAGGGTGACTACATGTCCACATGTGAATATACTGGCCTTAATCTGGGCCCAAATTATATTCCTGGTCAATATTGTGAATTCAGAGCAATGCACAGATCACTTCTAAGACTGATTTCACTTTCATGACAGGAACCTCTGTCTCTTCTGAGCCTACAGTCTAATCACTACTTTTACTGCTAGTATTAAAATAAGTTAAAAGATAGCTAGCAGTCCACCATTTTTAGTAGAGAAATGCTTAGCATTCTTTGGTTAAGCCTTATTTTACCACCTCACTTATTTAATAAATCTAACAAACAGCCTGACTTTTAGGAGAAAATGTTTTTGTTTTAAAGAGTCTTTATCATTTTGGCCGGTGAAAAACATAGGATACGTCCACAAAATATAAAGAAACTAAATCCCTGCATACAGCACAGAGCTACCTGTGGAATAGATGCCTGGAGAAGCCGGGAGAACAGATTCCTGGTATGTCAAGTAAAGTATCTGAATTATTTGTATTGATTTTTCTAGTAGGAGCATTTGAAAATACCTACTGACTTCAGGCAAAAGTGGAAACTCTTAACCAGGCATATAGATGTCATTTTTTGATGATATAAGTGCCATATTTTGGAAAGCCAAAACAAAGATACTCAAATAGAGCAATTATTTAGATTACTGATTATGACGTGATTGCGAAAGGTCACTTGTCTCTGGCTGAAGCAAATAGAAACCCGGGATGATCTCATCAGCTGTAAAGCACAGTGAGGTCAGGTCTGGTTCATCTGTGGAAGGAAGACTTCAAAAGAAGAAAACCTCTCAAGCTGAATTAATGTGATGACTCTCTTTCATCTGAGTCATTACTGATCAATTGTTGCAGCATGCTATTGAGGGCACTGCACGGTGGTGGGTGGGAGCAGCTGCACAAACAAGCCAGAGCAACCAGCATTTTTTTGGCCACGTGCGTTGCTAACAGAGTGGGTCTTAGCACACTGGCCTGGTTCACCTGCAGCCCAAGTCACTGCAAGCTCTCAGCCTATATTAGAGCAAAAGGTGCAAGTGGATGTGATTTCTCGCACCTCCTACCTGGTGGTACCTCATTGTTGTGCACTACTTAACTACTACGGTCACACTGTACATGGCAGTTTTAGTTAGAGGGAATATATTGTTGCTGTTCTTTGCATGTGTGTAGAGTGGGGAAGAACCTTGGGTTCCTTCAGGGCACTTAGCCTCATTGCATCTCACAAGGATGTGGCCAGGGCTCTGGGATAGGTAGCAAATGTTGATATGACACAATTGTCACATGCATTGGCCAGTGGGTCACTGTGGCTGGAGCGCAGACTGCCTCCCGGGGAGAATGAATGGCTGTACAGAGCAGCCATGCTGTGGCAGCCCAGGCTCCTGGTGTCTGTGTGTTCCCCACCTGAACACTGCCTGAAGCAGGCATTGTTTTCCAATCCCCAGAGTCAGGTAGCCAAGTAAAAATCTGATTTTATTTGCAGACTTTTCGAGACGCTCCAGTCACTCTTCTGGTCTGTGTTCGGTCTGCTGAATCTCTACGTCACCAACGTGAAAGCCAGACATGAGTTTACAGAATTTGTTGGGGCCACTATGTTTGGGACCTACAATGTCATCTCCCTTGTTGTGCTGCTGAACATGCTCATAGCCATGATGAACAACTCCTACCAACTCATTGCTGTAAGTGATCTCTTTCTCTCTCTTTTTGCTTCAGTTTTTCTCCATGTGCCTCATTCGTTAGGCTTATAGCAAGTGTGTATCTTCTGGGATGCTGGAGACTGCTGCCCCCAGGTTTTGACAGCAGATACTTGGGATTTCTACTCACTAGCCTGAATCATGCTTGCGGAGGAGGTTTTGCTCTGATTGTAATGCTTCTTAGCTGGAAAAGGCTTATCAGTTGTGATCTGCCCTTGTCTTCTCCTGTAGAGTAACCTCACTGATCACCTTGTCATTAGCAGCTGATTTACTTTGCAGCAGAGAGGGTATATAAAGGGAAGCTTTATATACCACTGCTTCCTCATCCTTGGTTTTAACTTGGGGGGTGGGCGTTACATAGGTTTTTTCCCTCTCTCCTATTACTGTTTTCTCATTTGAAACTGTGTGTGTGAGGAGCCTGGTCCTTTAATTTCTTATTCCACAGTCTTCCCACTGAAATTAGATCATTTCCATCTGTAACACCAGCCAGTCTCCTGGCAGCTGACTCTGTAGACCCATAATCTCAGATTTCTGAGTCACCTCAGTGCAGGATGGATCTGAGCTGAGGCAGCTCGGGGCTGCCAGTTGGCTGTAGAGCCAGTTTAAAACTTAACTTTATCTTCATTTGAATGTTCAAAACTGGTCTCTCTACTGTAATCTCGTTCTGTGTACCTAAAAGCCAATCTGTACATTGATGATTAAATTTCTCAACAGATTGAAAAATAAAGTAGCATGGCTCTGTATTTTAAGGTTCTTCAGGTAAACTACAGAGAAACAGTATGGAAGGAAGCTAAATCTGGTGTGTGCAGTACTTAAGGTAAACCAGTGGGCACTTACTTTCCAGTTCTGACGTCTGACTTGATTGGTTTAGAGACAGTGAGGTGGTGAAGTGTTACATCATCTGTGAACAGAAACAGGAGCTGGGAAGATCATTTGCGTCCTCAGCCGATCACTCAGAAGTACAGGCAGAGTAGAGACTTCCTTCTCTGCTTTGGATGACTCTTGGATTTACTCTAGAAGACAGAGGATAAAACAGATTAAAAAAAGAACCAGCACCAGCTCTCCTATTTCCATTCCCAACTTCCTGGACAGATCCCTGGGGAAGTGTATGGGTGAGCTCCTTTCCTGGCTAAAGCACACAGAGGGGAGTATCGAGTTGTCTGCTTGTACAGGTTCCACAGCTGCTGTTGATCATCCGCTGATTCAAGTGGCTCCTAAATTTAGTTATGAGTCAAACTGAGTGCAGACTCAGTCAAATCGGTGATACTTTTGGACATCTGATCTTTATCACGTTAAAGAGTATGAGAAAAACTGGACCATTGACCTTCCAAACGAGCAGAAAAGCAGCTTATCACAAAGGCATCATGCTTTATCAGTCTGTTTCAATGCCTTAAGTGCTTTCTCTTTGTTCAGTGCTACTCCTCACAATCCAGGGAGACTGGAATGACAGGCAGAAAACAAAGATACTCTCTTTGGCTGTTTTCTCCCATTCCCCTTCCTTTATTGTCTTCAAATAGGCTTGTCACTGACACAAAGCCCAAACCTGAGATTGGCATAAGAATAGCAGCATTTTCTATGAACTGGGATACAAACCACTCATCATTCTTTTCCCTGAATAATTTGAGTGATGCAATGACACATTACAAACAATCCCACATGACTTGGAGAGACCCATCATAACAAATAACTGAAGTGAACGGTCCAGAGCGGACTGTTGTGTTAATATTTTTGTGTATGCAGCAGTTGGGAGCAGTGATTTGCTCCATCAGAAAGGATGCTGGAGAGACCTGGGGGTGAAGGACTGAACTGGCCAGATAACCTAGGCATAACACGCAAGGCAGCGTGCAGCATGAGGCCCCTCAGAAGAATGACAGTGAAAATGCTACAGGATACTTCTTTGTCACTTAAGCTGTCATACTGCAATTGCTGCTGAGAGCAGTGACATTTCTTGGGAAGGCAAGAGGCTGTCACTTCCAGCCTTTTCTTGCGCCGTGCATGCAGCTTGTTTTTTTTGAAGCTAGTATTTCTGCACGCTCACAGCATTCTCTCAGGCACAAGTTTTATCCATGTGTCTTCTAAGGGCAAAATCAATTAATCTCTTCCCTGAAGAAAACAACTCATTAATAAATGTTGAGCTTTACAACTGCAGATCGTTTTTTAACCTCCTCTAATCAGGTCTGCCCCTTTCTGAATCACAGTGGAGTGGGCATTTCTTCTTGCTGGTATTTCTGTTACAGTGAATACACGTGGAATGACAGCATTCCAGGGAGCGAGGAGGGGAAAGGACCAAGAAGCCCTCAGAGCGGGGTGGAGATCTTACTCTAGCATACATCAGTAGGAAATCTTGTGCCATGTGCAGGACTCTGCAGAGAAATAAAGTGAGCTAGACATCGAGGATGAGATGCCATCAACTGCTTGTTGATTTCCCTGCAGTGCAGTGGTTGGGACATCGTAATTAATTCCACTTGTTAATGAGCCAGTGGCACTGCTGCAGTGCAAACAGTCTGTCTCCCCTCCTTTCTTCCAGGGACAAATATGTTAATACATTTGTAGCAGTTATTCTTCAGGTTGGCTTTCCTCCATTGTCTCATACATACATGAATTTCTGCTGTGAGGTTAGAGAAAGGGGAATCTGAGCTGCTTTTGCTTTGCCCTTCCTTGTGTCTCCCCAGTATGGGGGTTAGGGCTTGGTATTTAATTAAGCATTGTAGGCACACAGCATGAAACCACAGGGTATCTGGAAGACAGAGCAAGGCAAGCAGAGTAAAACCTCCACACAGCTTTGAGAGATTCCTGACTCACAGAAGGAAGAATATTTCTGCCATAATGTTTTTTTTTACTAAGCTATTTCAGACCTCAACAAATACATTTTTCTAGGGGTACCCTAAAGCAGTTTCAATACTGATTTTTTTCATACAGACCATTTTTTTTCTTTTGCCAAACCTCTGCTAGAGCTGGTTATGGGAGACACTATGTTTCACTGACAAAGCAAACAAAATCCAAATGCACACCAGAATTTCCATATGCTTTGCACTGTTTCAATACGTGAAGATCAGAATGTTCTCTACAAGCAGCACAGAATGCAACTGGATGTTTTGCATTGCTGGGTCTCTCAATGCCTTCCCAGATGTGACAGAAATACCATCATCTGATGGACAGAAGAAGAATATGTCATGATGTCAAGAGGAAGGGCAATGGAATTTATCTAAGAGTAGCCACGTGGCTCCATCATTCATCAGTGGCAGAAAGAGAGTGGGTAATGAGGACACTTCATGTGATAGGCTGTATCTCACAGGATTGCCACTTGGCTGCAGCTGAAGTTACACAATCCTCCTGCCAGTTTTTAATTTTTTCAAAACAGTGTGATAGTGGGTGTTACGGGGAGTCCTAGGGTGCAGGTGCATTTCGGCCTCTCTGGTGCCCTGGGGCGCAGGTACATTTTGCAGGGAATTGGCAATCTATGCGTGTTTTCTGAACGCGTGTTCCTTCTGGACACATCCGTGATTTTCTGGAATTGGTCACTGGAACTGTACCAACAGTTGTGACTCTGCAGCTGCAGGAGCACTGGGAAGGAAGATCGATGGAAGAACTGCAACTAAGGCCCATCCACAGGAGGAAAACCATAGGGCTGTGAACTCACAATCCGAGTTCCAGGTGAGTTAGAGCAATAAGTGGCACTGCAGCAGCAGGCATCCCACTGACACATCAAGGAGATGGAAGCACTTGCAGCTTTCAGATGTTTTAGGAAAGTACAACAATGCTTAATACTTCAGAGAGGGGGTCACACCGAAGTCTCTATGAGAAAATTTACCTGTAACTACTGTGCACGGAAATGAAGGTGTCACAGCTTCAGGTGTGCAGTATACGGTGTATGTGTGATGTTGGAATAATTACTCCATTCTAGCAGTGTGTATTAAGTTACAAAATTGTCTTGTATATTGTATTTTGTATCCTTCTGTTGGTCTGTATGACCATTATTTCAAGCTAGTTCATCTCGGAGAGCTGTCACCGCAAAAGGCAGCTGCATGTTTAATTTTTTTAAGTGTATATTGAAACCTAGTTGCCAGTGTTCGGATTGGGGAAATTAGGGCATTGGACACCAAACGAGGAGTGCGGTTTTAAATGATGGAATGGATTAGAGCGGATTAGCACATAGTGTGGAAGACAAGAATGAAAATGATAAATATTTTACATAGTGAAACAAAAGCTGTACAGTAAACAGAAACAGTTGGTATGTGCAGCTCAAAATAAGTGATCACTTTCAGGAAATTTTGATTGTAATTGTAAGGATGTTGTACATGGAATTTTCTCCATTTTTGCAGAGTAGAGAGCTTAAAAATTAAAGCACAGAGGAATATAAAGATTTTTCAGCTCCCTATTACATGGTTTCCAAGATGACTTTGGATTTCCCTCAGGAAGTAGTATCAAACTTTTCTTGTTCTACAAAGAACACGAATTCCTCTAGTTTTCTGCACCAACTGAACTCCCTCAGCACCATGGCAGTAATTGCTACCCAGTTTAATTCACAACAGCAGCAGAAATGCTCTTCCCCACTGTGATCTGTGACCCTTAGGACTGTCAAAAAAATGTTGCACCTCCTCTGCTTGCATGACCTGCGCAGTTATTACTTGGTGGTTTTGCTAAGGAAGAATTTTATGAATCAATAACGTTAGTTCATCTGGACAGTCCCTGCATGTGTCAGTGTTTGGGTGGTAGATTGTCCCCCTGCAGAGGTAAGGTAAGCTCCACAGCCTGGACTCCAGTCTAAGCTATTGTAAAGCATCTGGAAGCGTTCATATCACAAACCTCATTTCAAAGCCATTAATTTGAATTTCTTAGGAGAAATTGAAATGTTTTTCTTTTTTCAACTCTGTAGTACAACAGGAAAGGAAATTATGCTCTTGTTATACCCTTGTTTCCAATATGAGCTGGGATTAATGTCTCTCAAAGCTTTTTATGGTGTAGCAAAACAACTAGGCTCTAGA